GTCCTCGTAGAGTCAAAAGGATGTGCCCAGGTGAGAGGGGAGCAAACCAGGGACAGGTAAGAGAGGAAGACCCAGGTGGAAGGAGCCCCCCAGAGGCAGGGCATGCAGATTTTAGGGAAAGAGAAGAATTGCCTTTGTGATCAGGCTGGGGGAAAGCAAACCAGGTGAAGGAGAAAAACTCACAAGCCAAAGCGTCCCTCCTCTTCTGAGCTACGCGAACTTCAGAGACACCTCCGTGAGCTGAGGGATGCAGCTCGTGGGGATTTTCTGATCTCCCCGTAGAGAAAGAACAGACCCACTGTTCTGCCGGCAGTGACTTGCTCTTTTGAAAGTCCATTTCTGATCTGTATTCAAACGGCGAAGGAAGACGCAAAGGGCTCTGAGAAGCCATCCTTGGTAAGGTCACAGTAAAAGGCAGGGCTGTCCACACTGACACGTGGGGCCGAGCTCCAGACACTCAGGAGAGATCAGCTGAGCAAACCTGGCCAGGGACATCAGCAAAAATCCAACTGCTTAAGGAAAATGAAGTATAGAATACAGACCTCGGAGGTGGAAAAGAAGAGAGAGTGCTCAAATGGAGCCACTGAGTGACCCAGGCAGCGGATAAACACACCGAAAGGGGAAAAGGGAAGAGGGATTTTACAGACGATGACAAGAAGTTAGTGCACAGAAGGTCAGCAACACGTTGCAAAGCAACATCCCTTCTGCTTCAGTCCTCCTCAGTCTACTCCTCCTGAAAATCGTGATTAGGCCACCAAGTATTGGCAGTGCTCAGAAGGCAGGAGAGAAAGGCTTTGGGTAACCGCGATGTCCCACACCACCAGCATTAGCGATGGACGAAAATAGGCACTCCAATTAAAAAATGTAAAACATTCTTTCATTTCTGGAGCTGTCTTGCCTTTCATAAAATTTAAATAAGCTCAGATAACTCTCTTCATAGCTACATTCAGAATATAATGATATTCAAATATACTGCCTTCACATACACAAACAACTTGTGAAATTATTTGCCAGCATATTAAGCCACTACACCAGATTGCTTGGCAATGGTGCATGTCTTCGAAATATGCAGATGCTTTTCTTTTTTAAAAAGAGGAGAGAGGGAGAGAAGAGGAGAAGCGAGAAAGAATGACAGTAGAATCAAGTAGCCAGAATAACAAATTGCAGAGAGACTCCAACCAGTATGACACCAGATTTGGAGAAATAGTTAAAAGATCCTGGGGGATGAGTTATGGTTTCTTATTTCTGTGTATATGTGTCTATATATATATATATATATATTTATATTTATAAACTTACAGATAGACATACACAAACACACACACATGCCCAGAGGAACAACTATGCAAAGTCTCACAAATCTCACAGTAGTGTGTGTCATGCGTAAACTCAAATTCCCAGCGCCCGTGCAGACAAGCTGGAAGTGTAGGTACAAAAAATACAGGCACGATGACTGTTGTACATCTTTTTGAATTCCCTTCTACACAGCCTTCCTTGGGAAAAGCAAGAATCTAAACCGAGTACATCTGTCACTGAGATCCTGTAAAAATTATTTTGCATGTATATATACATACCCATGTACACATTCCAAACCTGCGCCACCTCATTCTCCAGGTACATGCACAGGCTGGACTACAGTACTGCATTGTTTAAAACAAAGGCAGAAGTGACTAAAACCAATGATTTCTGAGAGCACGTTTCACATATTCACCACAATGGGGAACTGGGAGGCTCCCAAACCCCTAAGCACAAACTTCGAAAGGTTTCCTAAAATGCAGAAATATGAAAATGACTCCAGCGAGGGCTGAAAGGGAACTAAGAATATTCCCTATGGAACTGCTCCTGCTTAGTAGTTTTTAGCGAGTAAACACGCCTTTCTTAAGAACACACAACTGCCATAAAACAGGTTAACACAGGATGAGGTACTATTTGATGTCATCTAGCCACCATCTGCACAAACAAGACATCTGACATGTATGAAACATCCAGTTTCACCAACAGGCCAGCCAAAGTGTAAGGAGTGACATTATACTAACACACAGAGTGGTGAAATATCTATTTTATCTCTAATTTGGATGATGATCCAAATCCATCCCTTGATCAAAAAAGGATGTTCCCACTGAAGAGAGGGAGGCAGAACCAGGCTCGGTGTGTGCATCACCATAATGCCCCTGCACGAGGCGCAAACGGCAGAATAAAATGTGCTCCAACCTTATGTTGCAAACCCAACCATTTTTCATGGGCAACAATGGCACCTTCGGGAAAAAGAAGGGAAAAAAAAAAAAAAAAAAAAAAAGAAGAATCCAAACTCAGGGCTAAGAAAACTGTATCCCAAACTACCAAGCCAGAGCTCAGGATAAACCCCAATTATAATCAGGAACACCATGAGCAGCTAAGATCAGATGGGTGGGGCAGCAGGCAGTAAAGCTGAGTGGCCAGGTTAGGGAGTCTG